GGGGGGGCCGTGCAGCCGGGCACACGGGCATCCACCACCGACAGGGTACCTGGCCCACGGACAGCATGGTGTCGTCCATGATTTGCAGCACGGCCTCCATGGCCGAGGAGTATTTGATGGGGGCGCCGGGGCCCGAGCCCGGGCCCACCGACAGGTGGATCTCGACGCGGGCGGCATGCGGCGGCAGCATGCTGGCCCCGGCCCAGTGGAGGCTGCGCCCGGCAAAGAGCCGGCCAAAGTCCCACGCGCTCAGGGTAAGTTGCTGGTGCGAGGGGGCCGCCCGGGGGTCGGGGTCGGGCCTGGCCGGCCGGTGGGCATCGGGCGGGTGAGTACCGTGCGGGTGGCGGCGCGGGGCCCGGAGGCGGGTGGTACGCACTCGAGCAGCAGCGCATGGCCGCCGGACGACCGGAGAAAGGCCTCCTCGGCTTCGGGCAGCCATTCCCGGAGCTCCCGATAGGCCAGCGGGTTGACGGTGGCGCGGCCGGGGGGGAACCGGGCCAGCTGGCTGGCCCGTGCCTCCAAACTCAAAAGGGCCTGGTGCTCGGCATGGCCGCCGGGCGGCGGACTAAGCAGCAGCCACTGCCGGCGCGCGGGCCCCGCCGCCCCAGGCGCCAGGACATGCAGGCAGCCCGCCGCGGCGGAGTGCTTTTCCGGCAGCAGCCCCACCGGCCGGTCCACCTCCGGCGCGTCCGCCCAGCCGATACCGTGAATGCCGGCGAGCAGCCTGTGCCCCTGCCACTCGAAGGGCAGGTCCTGCGGCGGGGAGGAGGGTGAGCTACGTCAGGAGGCCCGGTTACAGGCACATACACACAGGCATGCCCATGTGAGCAGGCGTGGCCGGATGTGCGCGTGCGTGCGTGCGGATGTGCGTGCAGGGAGCGATTGCTGGGCGCTTGTTGGCCGCTGCGCGCACCCGGTCCAGGCGCATGGTGGCCCCGGCGTGGGCGGCCAGGAAGGCCTGCTTGAGCGTCTCGTCGCAGGGCAGGCCCCGCGCGGCGGCCGGGTCGCCGGCAAAGCGGATGTCCACGCGCGCGGCCACCGGTATCCCGGGTAGGGGGGCCAGGTGCAGGGTGTCCATGTGGACCGGGCCCAGGGCTGCCAAATCCCGCGGGTGCATGGCCATGGTGAAGCGGGGGACCCGGTCGCTCGGGCTTCCGGGGGGCGGGGGCTCGGGTCAGCGGGCAGCGGGGGGGGGGGGGGGGGGCAGATTCGTCAGCGCGAAAAGCCCGGCCCAAGGCCCGGGCGGCGGGGCGCGGCACATACCGCACGTCAAACAGCGCCCCCTGGGCGAGGAATCGCGCGGCACCCCGGCGCAGGTCGTCCGGGCCGGCGATCCGCCGGAAGGCGGCCGGCGAGACCAGAAGGGTGCCCTCGGCACTGTCCGGGGCCCCGGGCGCCAGGTCCAGCAGCACCGCCTCGGGCCGGCCGGGATCCGGCCGCAGGGAGGCCACCAGGGGCCGGTCGTCGGGCCTGTCCCGCGGCGAGCGCACATGAATGACGGTCGGCTCGGGCCCGTGGCCGGTGGCCATGCCGGCCGAGACCTCGCGGAAGTCCCGGTCCATGAGCCGCGACACGCGGAATCGACCGCGGGGCCTTGCCAGGCGGATGATCTACCAGGGCGCAGGGTGGCCAGTCAGACGGGGGTCGGCGGCGGGGTAGCGGGCGCGGGGGGGGG